ACCCTTCTGGATCCGCTAAATCCTCTAGAACCTTTGAATCTCCTAGACATTTTAGATCCTTTAAATCCTTCACATTCTTTAAATCTTTTAGATATTTCATATTCTTGATATCTTTTAGAAATCCTATTGATATTTTAGGGTCTTGTAGAGACTTTATATCGTTTAGATCTTTTAAATTGTTGTTTGGATCGTGAAGACTTACTACATCCCTAGATGATCTAGATGTTATAAATTCAATTAATCTTTTAAATCTTTGAGACGTTTAAGATTCTTTAAATTTTTCAGATCCTTTATCTGTTCGAGATTTTTACACATCTATTAGATCTTTGAAATCTTTTAGAGACTTTAGGTGTTTCGGATCCTTCTAGATCCTCTATATCATCTAGAGACCATCTTGATCTTGATCTGTAGGTCCTGTAGGTAATCCAGATCCTCAAACCTCTAGACCTTTAGATTCATTAAATCTTTTATATCCTTTAGATCTTTAAGATCCTCCGCAACCCTACAGATATTTTATGATTCTGCAAAGACTTCACATCGTTTAGATCCTCTCTGTCTTCTGAAGAATTCTGCTAATATAGATAATCCAGATTCTGTAAATCTTCTAGATCTTTTAAATTTTTGAGATGTTTTAGAATCTTTAAATTCTTCAGATTCTTCAAATCTTTTAGTTCTCTGCATTCTCTAGAGACTCTTAATCTTGATCTTTAAAATACCCAGATAGATCTTTAGATTCTTTAAATTCTTCATATCCTTTCAGATATTTGAAATCCTTCAGATTCTTTAGACCCGTGAGGTTCTTCACATCTTTTAGAACCCCAAGATACTATAGATCTTTAAGGATCCTGTAGACCCTTTACACCGTTCAGATTCTTCAAGTTCTTCGGATTCATCTGGATCCTCAAATTCTCTAGATCCTTTAAATATTTGAGATTTTTAGATTCTTTAAATTCCTCGGATCTTTTGCTGCTTAACATTTTTCTTATCTTTCAAATTCGTGAGGTCCTTCAAAATTTTTAGATTTTTGAGAAGCCTCATATTTTTTGATCCTTGAGATCTTGTAGAGCCTTTAGGTATTTCGGATCCTTCTAGATCCTCTATATCATCTAGAGACCATCTTGATCTTGATCTTTAGGTCCTGTAGGTAATCCAGATCCTCAAACCTCTAGACCTTTAGATTCATTAAATCTTTTATATCCTTTAGATCTTTAAGATCCTCCACAACCCTACAGATATTTTATGATTCTGCAAAGACTTCACATCGTTTAGATCCTCTCTGTCTTCTGAAGAATTCTGCTAATATAGATAATCCAGATTCTGTAAATCTTCTAGATCTTTTAAATTTTTGAGATGTTTTAGAATCTTTAAATTCTTCAGATTCTTCAAATCTTTTAGTTCTCTGCATTCTCTAGAGACTCTTAATCTTGATCTTTAAAATACCCAGATAGATCTTTAGATTCTTTAAATTCTTCATATCCTTTTAGATATTTGAAATCCGACAGATTCTTTAGACCCGTGGGGTTCTTCACATCTTTTAGAACCCCAAGATACTATAGATCTTTAAAGATCCTGTAGAGCCTTTACACCGTTCAGATCCGTCAAGTTCTTCGGATTCATCTGGATCCTCAAATTCTCTAGATCCTTTAAATATTTGAGATTTTTAGATTCTTTAAATTCCTCGGATCTTTTGTTGCTTAACATTTTTCTTATCTTTTGAATTCGTGAGGTCCTTCAAAACTTTTAGATTTTTGAAAAGCCTCATTTTTTAGATCCTTGAGATCTTGTAGAGCCTTTAGGTATTTTGGATCCTGCTAGATCCTCTATATCATCTAGAGACCATCTTGATCTTGATCTTTAGGTCCTGTAGGTAATCCAGATCCTCAAACCTCTAGACCTTTAGATTCATTAAATCTTTTATATCCTTTAGATCTTTAAGATCCTCCACAACCCTACAGATATTTTATGATTCTGCAAAGATTTCACATCGTTTAGATCCTCTCTGTCTTCTGAAGAATTCTGCTAATCTAGATAATTCAGATTCTGTAAATCTTCTAGATCTTCTAAATTTTTGAGATGTTTTAGAATCTTTAAATTCTTCAGATTCTTCAAATCTTTTAGTTCTCTGCATTCTCTAGAGACTCTTAATCTTGATCTTTAAAATACCCAGATAGATTTTTAGATTCTTTAAATTCTTCATATCCTTTTAGATATTTGAAATCCTTCAGATTCTTTAGACCCGTGGGGTTCTTCACATCTTTTAGAACCCCAAGATACTATAGATCTTTAAGGATCCTGTAGAGCCTTTACACCGTTCAGATCCGTCAAGTTCTTAGGATTCATCTGGATCCTCAAATTCTCTAGATCCTTTAAATATTTGAGATTTTTAGATTCTTTAAATTCCTCGGATCTTTTGTTGCTTAACATTTTTCTTATCTTTTGAATTCGTGAGGTCCTTCAAAACTTTTAGATTTTTGAAAAGCCTCATTTTTTAGATCCTTGAGATCTTGTAGAGCCTTTAGGTATTTTGGATCCTTCTAAATCTTCTATATTTTCTAGAGCTAGGTCCTCTATATCCTCTAGACCAATTGAAGGCCTTGTAGAACTTCTATATCCTTTAGGGAGTTTGACTAATCTAGATAGACAAATAATTCTCGATATAACGTAGATCCGCTAAATCCGCTAGAGCCTTTTAATCTCCTAGACAGTTTACGTTCTTTAAATCCTTCACATCCTTTAGATCTTAGAGATCCTTCATATTCTTGAGATCTGTGAGGTCTTTCACATCTTTAAGATTTTTGAGATCCTGTGGAAACTTTAGGTATTTTGTATCCTTGTAGATCCTCTACATCCTCTACAGACCAGCTAATCTTTAAGTCCTCCAGATAATCCAGATCCTCGAACCTCTAGGTCTTTAGATTCATTAAAACTTTCATATTTTTTGAATTTTGAGATCTTTCACATTCTTTAGACCCTTGCACCCTTAACATCTTGTAGATCCCTAAAATCCTACAGGTATTTATGGTCCTGCAGAGACTCTACATTCCTCTACAGATCCTTTAAATCTTCTAGATATTTTAAATCTTTGAGATGTTTTAGATTTTTTACATTATTTATATCCTTTTAGGTATTTTAGATTCTGAGACTTTAGGTGCTTTGTACCTCTAGAGACTCTAGCTAATATTGATTTTTAAATTTCCCAGGTAGCTCTTTAGATTCTTTAAATTCTTCATATCCTTTTGGATATTTGAGATCCTTCACATTATTTAGGCCCGTGAGGTTCTTCACATCTTTTAGAACCCTAAGATACTATAGATCTTTTAGGGTCCTGTAGAGCCTTTAAGACACCGTCCAGATCCTCCAAGTTCTTCGGATTCTTCTGGATCCTCAAATTCTCTAGATTTTTTAAATATTTGAGTTATTTTACATTCTTTAAAATCCCCGAATCTTTTGCTGTTTGAGATTTTTCTCATCTTTTAAATTCGTGAGCTTCTTCACAACTTTTAGATCTTTGAGATGCCTCATATTGTGTTACAATTAGGTGTTTTAGATCCTTCTAGATCCTCTATATCTTCTAGATCATTTAAATCTTCTCGATTCTTTAAATCTTCTAAAAGATCTAGATTCTTTAAATCCTTCATATCATTTATATATTTGAGATCATTCACATTCTTTAGACCCATGATGTTCCACACATCTTTTGGAACCCTGAGATACTACAAATGTTTTAGGATCCTGTCGAGCCTTTACACCGATTAGATCCTTCAAGTTCTTTGAATCCTTCTGGATCCTCAAATTTTCTAGGTCTTTTGAATATTTGAGATATTTAGATTCTTTAAATTCCTCAGAGCTTTTGCTGTTTGAGATCTTTTTCATACTATAAATTCGTGAGGTCCTTCACATCTTTTAGATTCTTAAGATCCTGTAGCGATTTCAGGTGTTTTGGATCCTTTTAGATCGTCTATATCTTCTAGAGACTTGAGAGAATCTAGATCCTATAAATTCTCCAGATAAGTTAGATCCTCTATATTTTCTAGACCCTTTAAATCTTCTAGAGTTTTTAGATTCTTTAGATCCTTCAGATATTTGAGATCCTTGACATGCTTTGGGTCTGTGAGTTCCTCCATGTCTTTTGGAGCTCTGAGATCCTACAAATCTTTGAGGATCATATAAAGCCTTTACATACTTAGTTTAAATCCTTCAAGTTCTCTTTTAAATCCTCTAGATCTTCTAAATTTTTGGTATTTTAAATTCTATAAATTCTTCAGATGTAGCGACTTGAAATCTTTCATATCTTTTAAATCCAGAAGATATTGTACTGTACAGCCTTTAAATACTTTAGATCCGTTATATCCTTAAAATGTGTCTCTATTAGATCCTTTAAATCTTTTAGATTTCTTAGCGTCGTGGTACTTCAAAATAATGGATTTAGTTCTTTGGATCCTTTCTGATTGATCTAAAAATCTTCAGATCTTTCAGATCCTGCAAATCTTTCAAAAATTCTCTGTATCCTTAAATATTTCAAGTTTTTCTAAATCTTTTGGATCTTTTATATATTTTTTTTAACTTTATATATTGTTTGAATTCATCAATATTTTGAAAACGATGGAATGAATCATGTATCTTTTCAAAATATCGAATAAATTCGCTCTTCTAAGGCAAATACAGATAACGAAAGATGCGGTGACGTCATCAATTTTTAGGTGGGGATGAAAGGACAAATTTTAGTTGCTGTTTGACCGTCTAGACAACATCAAAGGGTTCGCAGTAATCATAATTCATAATAATTAGTTCAGTAGTTTCGAGGTCTCATCTGTTTGATAAAGTCGCTAACAGACAATAAACGGACGGAAACGGCGTGAACACCCGAGACTAGACATTTTTCACAGCTTTCATGCTGTTATAATAAAGTAAAACATCTCGTGGAACTTGTTTCAACCGCTCGTTATATTATATATGTCATAATCGTAATACACATAAAATATGTGTCACTCTCATTGCAGGTGCTTGGCTTCGCCGCGGTTGTTCCTCTCGTAGCTTGCAACGAACACTTCAACCACACAGTCTTCGACCTTCCTCGCATTCGGCGCAGTCCTCGCAAACACCACCACCTTCACGAAAGTTGGTAATCACATCAGCCCGCAGCAAAATCCACCGTCGTAACGCACAATTTTCCCCCAGGTACGACCCCAACATCCCGCTGCGCTTCCCCGGCAAGTTCCTCAACCAGCGCGACAACCAGATGCTGCTACGACAGGAGAGCCGGAACGGCAGCGGCGTGGACTGCTGTCCGTCGGTCCTCGAGATGATCGAGCCCGAGGGCGGGAAGAACCAGGACGACGAGTACGTCGAGCTGTACCGGGACGGCGACTACCGGCAGCGCTTCTACGAGCTCTCCTGCCACGCCGACATCCTGGGGAAGCCGTGCCGGTTCATGGACAAGAAGCTCCACAACAGCTCCAAGTGCGTGCAGAAGTACAGTTACACGTACGCGCTGGTGAAGGACCCCGGCCGCCGCCACCACCAGCGGCCCAAGAACTTCCCCTCGTTCCCGGCCGCCGGGCCCGGGGGCACCACGTGGACTTTGGACTACATTCGTGTGAGAAGTGGTTGTGGGTGCGTGGTTACGCCGAACAAGAAAAAGCGCGATAAACAGAAACACCATAAAAAAGCGAAGTTAGGGGACAGCACGAACTAATTCAAATTTTAGGTGAAATGCGTTATGCCAAAGGAGACGAACTTAGTTAAGATACACGAGATTGTTACCAGCCGATGGAGATTTCTTCGAGGCGGACAACGGACGATTAAGCTAGGCAATTCGGCGGGAGAAAATTGGCAATCGGGCGGGTTGGGTAGGCGGCGATTTTTTTCGGGGGGCAGGCGTGAGTAAAACTGGGGTCTTCGGACTGGGGGTGGCGTAGATTGGAAATAAGGGTGCATTTTTTTTCATTTAACTCCGTAACCGTGAGTCTGACAAAAGCTTTTTGAGGATTTTTCTAGATAATTAATAAGGGATGAAAACATTTTGGATAAAATCGTACAAAAAAAATTGCTTCTTGGATTTTTGAGAGCATTTCCTCTAAAACTCTAAACGATTACTATTTACTTAATAAGTTTTACGATTATTCAGCGTTGCCAAGGACGTAAGTTCATAAATTTAAAATTAGTGCAAACAAAGATCTTGTAGGTTCTTTGGATCCTTCTAGATCCTCTAGAAAACTTTAGCTAATCTAGATTTTCTAAATTCCGTAGATAATCTAGATTTTCTAAAATTTCCAGATTCTTTATTTAAATTTTAGAGACATTTCACATCTTTAAACCCTTCAAATCGTTCACAATTTCTAGATCTGTGAGATCTTGAGTCACCTAACATTCTTTGATCCTGTATAGTCTTTAGATCCTTGGAGTCTTTAGGATCTTCTTGGATACTCTGTGTCAGGCTTTGCGTAAATTGGATCCTCTAAATCGTGTAGACTCTTTAAATCCGTGAGATCTTTCACGTCTTTAGATCCTTTTACCCTTCACAGTTTTTAGATGCCTGAGGTTCTATAAACATTTTCCGCTGAAACGTTTAGTTAACCTGGATCTCTAGACTTTTTAGATCCTCAAAATCCTATGGATCTTTAGATTCGTGAGGTTTCAACACCTCTTAAATTCTTGAGAATTTTTATAATGTTTAGGTCCTGAAGATCCTTTGTATCATTGAGATCCTTTAGATTCTTGGGGTCTTCAGGATTTTTCTAGATACTATATAGGAGTATCTGCTAAACTTGAGATCATCTAGATCGTCCAAATCTTCTAGATTCTTTAAATCTTCTAAAAGATCTATATGATTTAAATCCTTCACATCCCTTAAATGTTTAAGATCTTACACATTTTGTAGATCTCTGAGATCCGATAAATCTTGTAGATTCTTTACTTTGTTTGGATTCTTCTGAATCCTCTACATCCATTGAGGAGTTTAGCTAACCTAGATCTCTGGACTGTTTAGATCTTTTAACTCCTACCGCTCCTTAGATTCCTGAGCTTTCAATTCGTCTTAAATTCTTGAGAATCTTTAAAATTTGTAGATCCTGGAGATCCTTTGTATTTTTTTAGATCCTTGAGATCCTGTACAGTCTTTAGATCCTTGGGGTCTTCAGGATTTTTCTAGATATTATATGTCTGATAAACTTTAGATAATCTAGATCGTCCAAATCCTCTAGATTCTTGAAATCTTCTAGAAGATCTAGATCATTTAAATCCTTCACATCCCTTAAACCTTTAAGATCTTACACATTTTGTAGATCTCTGAGATCCGATAAACCTTTTAGATTCTTTACTTTGTTTGGATCCTTCTGAATCCTCTACGTCCATTGAGGAGTTTAGCTAACCTAGATCTCTGGACTTTTTAGATCTTTTAACTCCTACAGATCCTTAGATTCCTGAGTTTTCAATTCGTCTTAAATTCTTGAGAATCTTTAAAATTTTTAGATCCTAGAGATCCTTTGTATTTTTTTAGATCCTTGAGATCCTGTACAGTCTTTAGATCCTTGGGGTCTTCAGGATTTTTCTAGATATTATGTCTGATAAACTTTAGATAATCTAGATCATCCAAATCTTCTAGATTCTTTAAATCTTCTAAAAGATCTAGATGATTTAAATCCTTCACATCCCTTAAACCTTTAAGATCTTACACATTTTGTAGATCTCTGAGATCCGATAAATCTTTTAGATTCTTTACTTAGTTTGGATCCTTCTGAATCCTATCTGTCCATTGAAGAGTTTAGCTAACCTAGATCTCTGGACTTTTTAGATCTTTTAACTCCTACAGATCCTTAGATTCCTGAGCTTTCAATTCGTCTTAAATTCTTGAGAATCTCTAAAATTTTTAGATCCTGGAGATCCTTTGTATTTTTTTAGATCCTTGAGATCCTGTACAGTCTTTAGATCCTTGAGGTCTTCAGGATTTTTTTAGATATTATGTCTGATAAACTTTAGATAATCTAGATCGTCCAAATTCTCTAGATTCTTGAAATCTTCTAGAAGATCTAGATCATTTAAATTCTTCACATCCCTTAAACCTTTAATATCTTTCACATTTTGTTGATCTCTGAGATCCTATAAATCATTTAGGATCCAGTAGAGCTTTTAAACCTTTCTTTGAATCCTTCTGGATCCTCTATGGCCGCTGAAGAGTTTAGCTAACCTGGATCTGTGGACTTTTTAGATCCTTTAACTCCTACAGATCCTTAGATTCCTAAGGTTTCAATACCTCTTAAATTCTTGAGAATCTGTATAATTTTTAGATCCTGGAGATTCTTTTTATTTTTTAGATCCTTGGGATCCTGTACAGCCTTTAAATCCTTGGGGTCTTCAGGATTTTTCTAGATACTATATGTCTGCTAAACTTTAGATAATCTAGATCTTCCAAATCCTCTAGATTCATTAAATCTTCTAAAAGATCTAAATTATTTCAGTCATTCACATCCCTTAAACTTTTGATATTTTTCACGTTCTGTAGATCTCTGAGATCGTTTAAGATCTACTGGAACTTTTAGATCTTTCAGATTCTCTATTGTGGATCCTTCTGGTTTCTCTGTCTTCTGAAGTATTTAGCCTGCTTAGATGCCTAGACTTTGTAAATCCAACAAATACTTTTTTAGAACCTTTAAATCTTTAGGGATTTTAGACCCCTTATATCCACAAGATCTTTAACTCTTTTAAATTCCTGAGATCCCTCACAATTTTTGGATCCTTAAGATCACGGATATATCCGGGAGTTCTTTTGGATCTTCTATGTCCACTAAAGACTTTTTAGATTATTTTAATCCTTAGGTTCGTTGGATCCCTTTAGTTCTTCTATGTTATTTGAAGACTTTCTATAGATCGTCTAAATTCCCAAATAATGTAGATGCACCAAATACTTTTAAATCTTCTAGAGGTTTTAAATCCCAAGATCTTTTAGATCCGTGAGATCTTTGACATCTTTTAAATTCTTGAGATCCCTCATATTTTTAGATCCTTGAATTCTTTTGGATCTTTCTAGATACTTATGTGCGCTAGAAGATCTAGATCCTCTCGATCTTTTAAATCTGCTAGACTTTTTAGATTAGAGATACTGTAGAATATGCAGTATATTTAAATATTTTACACAGGTCAACCTAAAAGATTTAAAATTATTTAAAACAAAACATTTTTAGGTTTTTTGGATCCTTCTAGATCTTCTGTGATATTTGAAGATTTTGGCTAATCTATAGATCCTCTAAATTCCCAAATAACACAGATCCTTTAAATCTTCTAGAGATTTTAAATCTTTTACATGTTTAAGATCATTTAGATCCGTGAGGTTTTTGATATCTTTTAAATTTTTGAGATCCCTCACATTTTTTGGGTCCTTGAGATCTATTTAAGTCCTTTCGCATCTTACTAGATACCTATGTCCGCTGAAGACTTTGGACAATCTTTAATTCTTCTATACTTTTAGATTATTTTAATCCTTTACATCATCTAAATCTGTGAAGTCTGTAATATCTTATAAAACCGTGTAACTCTTCACAGTTTTTAGATCCCTGAGATCCTATAGGAGCCTGTATAGCCTTTAGATCACTAGAGTTTTAGATCTTGTAAATCCTACAGATCCTTAAATTCGTGATGTTTTCATATCTTTTAGATTATTTTCGGTTGGCTTGTGGGACAACCTAAAAAGATTTTAAATTATTTAAAAACAGAGAGTCTAGGTTCATTGGATCCTTCTGGATCTTCTATGTTATCTGAACACTGTGGCTAATCTATAGATCCTCTAAGTTTTCAAATAATGCAGCTGCACCAAATATTTTAGATCCCTTAAATCTTCTATAGATTTTAAATCATTTATATCTTTAAGATCTTTTAGACTCGTGACGTTTTTGACATATTTTAAGTTCATTTTTTGGATCCTTAAAATCCTATACAGCCTTTAGATCCTTGAATTGTTTTGGATCTTTGTAGATACTTTAATTCTTCTAGACTTTTTGAATTATTTTAACCCTTCACATCATCTAAATCTGTGAAGGCTGTAATATCTTTTAAAACCTCGTGACCCTTCGCAGTTTTTAGATCCCTAAGATCCTATTAGAGTCCTGTATAGCCTTTAGATTCTTTGGAATCTTTACTTTATTTGGATCCTTCTGGATTTTCTACGTTCTTTGAAGTGTTTGGCTAACTGAGATCCTTAGACTTTTCAGATCTTTTAAATCCTACATATCCTACTTTGGTTAATCTACAGATCCTCTAAATTCACAAAATCATACAGATGCATTAAATACTTTAGTTATTTTAAATATTCGAGAGGTTTTAGATCCCTTATAACCTTAAGATCTTCTAAATCCGCAAGGTCTTTGAGATCTTTAGGGTATCCAGAAATCTTGAATATTTCTGGATACCCTACTTCCGCTAAAGATATTCTAGATCATCTAAATAAAGTCCCATTAGGATCCTCTACAGCCTTTAGATCTTTATATTTTTTACGTTTTTTTTATGTATTTATATCAAAAGTTCAGATTATTATTGAAATATTCATCAGTTGAAATAAAATGTCACTTTTAATAGTTAATTAATTCTATTTAACAAGATTTTTTCGGCAACGCTTTAAACTAAGCATTATTAAGTACGTATTCCAGAGATTTAAAAATAGATGAACACAGAAAAGTCATTTATTTTGTGAAATACTCTCTACAATTGTCCAAAAGCCCATATCTAAAATGATTCTGGCACCATATTCTGAATAACAAAACAAATTTTATTATTAAATTATTTAAAAAAAAGCTCCTCACACATTTTTTGTCAGACTGACCCTTATTTTCAAACCTTATTCTCCAAAACCTCAGCTTTAGAGTTGGTGACCCCTCGATGAAACCTCAAAAACAATTTCTGCCTACCCAAACAGCACGATTTCAAGCCGGATTGACTGCGCTTGAAAGATGAACGCTAATACGTAATCGATGGAAACATGTATCTACAATATCCGTATTTACTGAATGTAAAGTGTTTAAAAGTGTACACATTCCAACGTAATTACCGTAGTAAGGTACAAATCTTGCTCACTGTAAGTACCTATACTTCACTAGCCGCTGTATTTCCCCCAAACCGACCTCTCTGCTTGTAATGAAACAGATATACGTAAGTTTCGTCTACGTAAATAAAAATACACGGTAAACTGATAGGTACCTACATATCTGCATAACAAACTGATTACTTAAGTAGGTTTCTAGATTTATGTTTTAACGAGATCTATTAATGCTCAGGACATTGATCAACCAATAACCAAAACGCGATTGTTGCAATCGCGCCAACAAATTTAAGATCGGCATGCGCAACTTAATTATTCAAAATTCTTGCGCACCACTAAACGATATTGCATGTGTGTAATTAAGTATTTCTAATGAGTATTTACTGTGAGAATAATTGGAATCCTTTAACGAACGTTTTTTTCAAGACTGAAAAAAGAAAAGAAAAATGATGTAATATTATTGCGTGTTCTCTTATTCTCGCTGATCCATTATTCATTACGAGCCGTCAAGAACAAAGATTTTGCCGCATTTTGTCACTATATACGCTATGTTTTAGCTAACGCGACTTGAAAAGTATTAATTAATGTGTATTTAAGGTTACCTACGTATAGTGCAAGGTACTGAACTCTTAGACTTTGTCTAGTACTACTCGCGACTGTTTCGGGGTAGTACGATGTAATCCGACACTGGTTATGTTCTCTGTATATAAAATGTAATTTGAAGTTATGTACATAGTTTCTAACACTATTTATTGCTTTTATATATAATTTAAACAAAAACACGTATAATATTTGTTTTTTAAATCATTTATTTATTGTAAATGATTTTTTTACGTTTCAATAAAAAGTATCTCAACACTTATGCCTGTGTTTTAATGCGTTTAAATGTAAAAAGACAACCATTTTCAGGTTTTCGACGTAGAAATTTTTTACTAGTAACGAATGTGTCATATAATAGAAACGCTGATTTACCATATTTATTAATTAGCTATTAGCCCGGATTTATCAGCGCTTGCTAACTTTAAAGAACACATGTTTACCATAGAAATCAGTGCTTCGACAATTATTTCGGTTCCAAATATTGATATAATACTATTTGTCGTCGTCAATGAAACCGGATCTAAGAACATTACCGAAGCAAAATGCAGATAAGAAAATTTTTTAATTTCTAGTAACTGAAATACGATGAAAATATGAAAGTACAAACGAACCAAACCCCATAAATAAAAAAATTAAGTAAACAACTGCAGAGCTTACAATACAAACTGTGGTCATATAATTGTAACCTTACACTTGTTAGCGTTCGGATTAAAATTCCAAGCACACTTTCTTGGTGAATATCTAATCGGAGTGAATTGAAATTGCAAATAAACATGGAAGAGACAAATAGAAAGAAGGAGAAGAGAAAGTCGCATTCAGGTTTGTGGTGTGAAGATTATGATTTTTCTTTCAAGAATATAATATGTACAACAAAAAGCCAAGTCATGGAAGTACCTTATGCAAATTTACATGAAGACGATAATTATAGAAAAATCCTTTGCCTCTCTGAAAAAATGAAATTAAAATTTTGCTTTCAAAAACTTTCCCAATACACTTTCAGTTCTATCATTTCTTTAAAAACGTAGACGTCGTTTGCTAGTGTAAACAGTTTCCACCGATGAAGATTTTGGGTATGACGTTTGCAAACAACAAAAAAGGCATCGAGCCTAGATAGGAGCCTTGAAGTACTTTGGAAAAATTCGAACAGAAAAACGTTGATTTGGTCTGACGCTTTTTGAAAGTCTGTATAGATGACATCTAGGTGATTCTTGATGGAGCAACTGTACTTCAGGGGCGAGGAAAGTTCTGCCTAATACCTTAGACCACTTTTTGCCAAATCCTTGAGATTCTTCACATTTTTTGGATACATGAGATCGTGTAGAACCTTTATATTCGACGATCCTTGGGGTATTTTGGGTCTTTCTAGATACCCTATATCCACCATATAATTTAGCTAATCTAGATCCTCTAGATTCCTTCATTTTCTAACAGATTTTTTAGATTATTTATTTCTGGATCCTTTATATCCTCTGAAGTGTTTATTTATCCTAGATCCCTAGACTTTTTAAATCCAAATATTTTACACACGTCAACCAAAATTTATCACCAAAAAGGTCCTTTCGATTCTTTGCTTAATTCTAGATCCTCTATGTCATCTGAAGACTGTTACTAATCTAGATCCACAAATTTACTGGATAATGCAGGATGATATAACCGTCTACAGCCTTTTAATTTTTTAAACATTTTAGACGCTTTAAATCCTTCAGATCCCTCAAATTCTTTAGATCCGTGATGTCTTTTATATCTTCTAAATTCTTGAGACCCGTCATTATTATTTAGGTCCTTGAGATCTTGTAGAGCCTTCATAAACCGTTGGAGCCTTTTGGATCTTTCTAGATACCCTATGATCGATACAAATTTTAGATAATCTACATACTCTAAATCTTCTAGATTCTTTAAATCCTCTACTAGACTTTTTAGAACCTATTAAGATCCTGCATTGGCTTTAGATCCTTTAGATTCTTTCATTTTCTAACAAATTTTTAGATTATTTCAATCTTTAACGTCAAATTTTTGAGATCCCTGAGATCCCATTAGGATCCTGTTTTGCCTTTAGGCTCTTTACATTCGTTACATTTTTTAGATCCTTCTAGATCATCTATCTCCTTTGAAGAGTTTGCTTATCTGTAGACTTTTCACACGTCAACGAAAATTTATCACCAAAAAGATCCTTTCGGTTCTTTGTTCGTTCTGGATCCTCCCTGTCATCTGACTTTAGCCAATCTAGATCCTCTAATTTCCCGGGTGACGTAGAATCATTTTAGGTGCTTCAAATCTTTCAGATTCTTTAAATATATTATGTCTTTTATATCTTCTAAATTCTTGAGATTCCTCACTATTATTAAGATCCTTGAGATCTTATAGAGCCTTTATTGATCGTTGGGGGCTTTTGGAGCATTCTAGACATCCTATGTCCGATAAAAACTTTAGATAATCTAGATCCTCTAAATACTCTAGATTCTTGAAATCTTCTACTAGACTTTTTAGATCCTATTAGGATCCTGTATTGCTTTTAACCTTTTAGATTCTTTACGTTCTTTGGTTCGTTCTAGACGCTCTATGTCATGTGATGATTTTAGCTAATCTAGACCCTCTAATTTCCTGGATAATATAGAATCTCCAAATTCTTTAGAGCCTTTTAATTTTTGAAACATTTTAGATGCTTTAAATCCTTCAGATTCTTTAGATCCGTGAGGTTTTTTGTATCTTCTAAATTCCTAAGATCCTTCGCTATTATAGAAAGAGATTCTTGTGATCTTATAGAGCCTTTACAGATCGTTGGGGTCGTTTGAATCTTTCTAGATACCCTATGTCCGATATCGGACATTAGATAATCTAGATCGTCTAAACATTTTAGATTCTTGAAATCTTCTACTAGACTTTTTAGATCCTATTAGGATCCTGGATCCTCAATGTCGTCTGAAGAATTTGGTTAATCTAGATTCGTAGACTTTTACTGTAGGACATGTACCACACATGACTAGTTTACACACGTCGGCGTAAATTTTCACTAAGGATTTAAAATTATTTAAAATAAAGATTCTTTAGGTTCTTTGATTCGTTCTAGATCCTCTATGTCATCTCATCTGAAGACTTTAGCTAATAGAGATCCTCCAATTTCGTGAATAATGCGGAATGATAATCCTCTAGAGTCTTTTAATTTCTGAAACAGTTTAGGTGCTTTAGATTTTTCAGATTCTTTAGATTCGTGAGATCTTTTATATCTTCTAAATTTTTCAGATCCCTCATTATTATTAAGATCCTTGAGATCTTATACAGTCTTTATAGATCGTTGGGGCCTTTTAGATCTTTCTAAATACCCTATGTCCGATAACAACTTTAGATAATCTAGATCCTCTAAATTCTAGATTCTTGAAATCTTCTACTAGACTTTTTAGATCCTATTAGGATCCTGTATTGTCTTTAAACCCTTTAGATTCTTTACGTTTTTTTGAATCTTTCTGGACCCTCAACGTCCTCTGAAGAATTTGGTTAATCTAGATTCGTAGACTTTATAGATCGTTATGATCTCCTGGATCTTTCTAGATACCCTATGTCTGACAAAAATTTTAGGTAATCTAAACCACATCCTCTAAATCCTCTAGATTCTTGAAATCTTCTACTAGACTCTTTAGATCCTGTGATTATCCTGTTTTTCCATTATACCCATTAGATTCTTTACGTTCTTTGGATCTTTCTGAATCCTCAATAAAGTCATCTGAAGAATTTGTTTAATCTAGATTCGTAGACTTTTTAGATCATTTAGATTTTACAGATCCTTGGATTTGTGAAGTTTTCAAATCTTTTAGATGCCTGAAATACTGTAGGGCATGTACGATGCCATTATTTTACATACAAATTATTTAAAACAAAGATCTTTTAGGTTCTTTCGTTCCATCTAGATCCTATGTGATCTGCAGACTAATCTAGATCATCTAAATTCCCTACACAACGCAGACTCGCCACATCCTCTAGACCCTTTAAATTTTCTAGACATTTTAAATCTTTTAAATCCGTGAGATCTTTTATATCTTCTAAATTCTTGAGATCCTTTATATTTTTTTTAAATACTCTATGCCCGCTAAAGGCTTTAGACAATCTACATCCTCTAAATATTCTAGAATCTTTAAATCTTCTAACCTTTTTAGATTATTCGGATCTTCACTTTTTTAAATCTTTGAGGTCCTTCACATTTTTTTATACAATCAGGATTTTTTAGGTTCTTTACGCACCTACTTTAGATCCTTCTGGATCCTTTATGTCTTCTGAATACTTTGGCTAACATTGATCCAACTTTTAGATTTTTTAAATCTTGCTAGATTCGTGAGGTTTTCAAATCTTTTAGGTCCCTGAGATCGTATAGAACATGAAATAAATATACGTAAATATTTTACAAGTCGACATAAATTTATTACTAATTTATTATTTATTAATTATCCTTTAAGTTCTTTGGATCCTTCTATATCCTCTGTCGTCTGCAGACTGACTAATCTAGATCCTCTAAATTCCATACACAACGCAAAATCTCCACATCCTCTAGAGTCTCTTAATTTTCTTCTTCTTCTTCTTGCACACCCTTTATAGATCGTTATGATATTTTGAATCTTTCTAGATACCCTATGTCTGTCAAAAAGTTTAGGTAATCTAGATCAGATCCTCCAATAATCCTCGAGATTCATGAAATCTTCTATTAGACTTTTTAGATCCTGTTAGGATCCTGTTTTGCCTTTGAACCCATTAGATTCTTTACGTTCTTTGGATCTTTCTGAATCCTCAATATCCTCTAAAGGATTTGGTTAATCTAAATTCGTAGACTTTTTAGATCCTTTAAATTTTACAGATCCTTAGATTCGTAAGGTTTTCAAATATTTTAGATGCCTGAGATACTGTTGGGCATATTCTATACAAGTATTTTACACACAAACTATTTAAAATAAAGATCTTTTAGGTTCTTTCATTCGTTCTAGATCCTATGTCATCTGCAGACTAATCTAGATCCTCTAAATTTCCTACACAACGCAGAATCGCCACATCCTCTAGAGGTTATAGACATTTTAGATCCTTTAAATCTGGAAGATCTTTAACATCTTCTAAATTATTGAGATCCTTCACGTTTTTTAGATCTTTGAGACATTGTGGAGCCTCTTGGGGTCTTTTTTTAGATACTCTATCCCAGCC